GATGCAAGTGGCGGCTTGCCGTTCGCCGTGGAGGCTTAAGGGAGAGGCCTTTGTCCAGCAGTGGACGTCTTCCGGCTGATTATGTTGATGATGATTCGAGTCTCGATCCAAACAAGACTTTAATTTGATATAACACTAAATTAGGTATGCGTGTCTTCGTTTTGTCATTGAAATAAGGAAAAATTAAGTTCTGAGAACGAAATTATAATCTTACGACAGACATCATTATTGCCATACCTACTTACACTTAAATGATTTGCAAATTTCTTAGAAAATGTGATGACACATAATAATATCATGAGTTTTATAGTTTAAATTTAAAGGCATGGGCAAAATAATGAAAGTCAGATTTAATGTAGGTGAGCCTTTTTTGGGGGGAGCGGAGAGAGTTATTAAATGACTTCTCCTGGGTGGGACGAGAAAGTGTTAGACTCTTAATACCTTATTACAAAATAAGGTTTTTCTTTAGTCTGGTTCTAAGCCATTGAGCCAGTTTTTGTATTTCAAATTAAAGGTAGATGAGAATAAGATTCAAAATACAAACCCTGACTCAATGGTTTTTTTTTGTAGGGGAAAATAATGAAATGGCTTCTCCGGCCCAGGGCCGGGCAGGAGGGAGTGTCAGACTCTGACTGACTAAAAACCCCCCTGTTCCTTCTTCTGCTGGAGGCTGGTGTCGCGGTACATTACCTATACTTAATAGCTTAATGTACGCTACCTCGGCTTTGTATAAGAGTACCTACAGTGACTTGTTTCCGCATTGAAAAATAAATTGTGTCCATTGCTTACTTTTTTTTGTGGTAAAACCAATTATTTCATTCTGAGCCAAGTTTCGGCACGAATGGATTGGCTTGACTGGAATGATATTACGGTCTTTCAGAAAACTGGCGTGAAACCAGACCAACCAGAGAAAGATTTCGCCTTGTGTATAAGGTTATAGGAGTTTTCCTTACCCTCCCCAATCCCCAGAGGCCGGCGACGTACTTGCAAATATTCTGGCGTTACGGGTGTCCATGGGCGGCGCTGCTTACTTACCATCAGGTAACCAAAGTCAAAATCATTTATTCCAACTAAACCATAAATAGGTACTTTTGAAACGTCAAAATAGAGAAGTAGTCTGTCAGTCTGTTCGTGAGTGAAGGTAGGTGCTCGTTCCAAATTGTAGATTCGAATGGAGAAGAACGAGCAAGAAACTCCATGAAATCTTTCAGCTCGTTATTTGAATACTAGTCTAGTTATGTATCTTCTTAAGCAGTATTTTTTTATTTATCAATACGTAGCCAATGAGTACTGTATTAGTGGCGTCATTTTTTCGACAAATTCTTATGCCCATGCTATACTACGCTACGACTGAAGCTATAGGAAAGGTAAGGTTATAATAAAAATAAAACAATTCGGTATATCAGTCAAAATCGTATATAATTTGTATATAAAAAAATACAGAAATATTTGTATAATTCTTGTAAACACAATAGGTATATTCCTTACAACTAAAATACAATACTACTTGCTAAATGGGTAAAAAAGACAATTTTTCTTGAAAACTTTATTATTCGAAACTTAGTTATTAAAATTTAACTATAAATGTTAATACAAGTCTTTCTCTATTTAAATAAGCCATAAGGCATACTAAATTATGATTAATATTGACAATCCAGTCCATGACCGGGCTCATAACTATAAGCTTTCGTCGTAACCTGAAACTAGTCGGGCATCCTCGAAAATTGTATATGAGTTGGTTTGACAATATTATCAAAACAAACATGAAACTTTTAAATAGTATAAAAATCCTATATACTTCGACATACATGTTATGTGTTAGTAGGTATGTATGTCAGAAAGAAAAGACGATATATTATTATCTTTTTCACCCTTAACATTAAAAATGTAAGTATATTTTGTTCATAAATTTCGAAACATATTTATGAAGACATAAATAAAAAATCTTGTGCACCTATTAGAGTTGTTTCATTACAAACAATTAATTAGTCAAATTCCAAAAAAAAAAAATGGAGAATTATTTAAAAATAATACTGTTTGTGTAGTGTTTAATACTAATTTTGATGGTTCAGTTATTGTTGGTTTACTAATATAATTGCAGAGTACCTCAAGAATTTATTTAACATGAAAATTAATTCTCTAAACCCCAAGCGAATGCCGTTGTTCGCGCAACTATTGTGTCTCGAATTAACACAGTTAGAATATTAAATGCAGGTAGCATTCAAAGGGATGATCTGGAAGCCATTGTTTTGAAAAAATTTTTTTGTGAAAAATTAAAGACACATTTGACGAGAGTTACATTATTCAATTTTTTCTTCCAGGTCACAAAACACATATTATTATCTTATCCAATTGGGTTGTTTCCTAGGTCAAAAATAAATTAATTCGACGTTGCAATACAATAAAATATTGAAAAATAACTATACTTTTATTTATCGATCGATCGATACACTTAATTTTGATTTTTTTTAGCTTATTACTTATCAACAAGTAAGCTATGACGCAAAATGTTATGACGTCATAACTCAAGAGTTTCATACAAATTTCATAGAAAAGTACTGTTTTTGACGTTTGGATAAAAGTATTGAATTTGACTAGTTGGAAACTACCGTATTGCTACAATTAAAATTGAAACATTTGCAATTATACTAAGTAAGCCAACAGTATTTTAAAATTAAAACCAAAATCGGTTAATATGGCACCAAAATTTTATATTCTATGAATTAAAAAAAACCATATTACCTATCTAAAAATTTAAATTTGTGATGTAAAATTATTATGACGAGACGAGTAGAATATTTTCTATCTACATAGATATAAGTAAATATTATAATTAGATTAATTTTTCGACGTGAAAACAACTTATTTTGACAATTAAATTTTAGCTTTTTTTGGGGTCTACGGGTATACTTTTCCAATTACTTGTATATTCATGAATTTGATAGTAGTACAGTTCAGTCCGACACTCCCCTTGCCCTACCTTAGGCTTAAGAGGGCATTGGATGAATTTGAGTTGAGTCCAGTCAGTCACTCGATAATTGGGTAGTTTCCTAGGTCAAAAATAAATTAATTCGACGTTTCAATACAATAAATTATTGAAAAATAACTATTCATTTATCAATCGATCGATCGATACACTAAGTTTTAGATTTTTTGTAGCTAATAATTAAGAAATAAGGAAGCTATTTGACGCAAAAATTTTATGACGTCATAACTCAGCTTTTCATACAAATTTCATAGATAAGTACTGTTTTTGACGTTTGGATAAAAGTATTGAATTTGACTAGTTGGAAACTACCGTATTATGCGATCGAACCCGTGATTATTTGCGTTTACATTCATATCAAAATTTATTTTGTTCTTCATTCATATAAGTCACAAATAGTTGTTTTCACCTTACATAGTAAGTAACTAGTTTATAAATATCAGAACATACAATAATGAGTATTTTACTATATATTACTTTAATATTATTTGTGACTATTATCATAGGAAGATATACATTTTCATTATAATATAATAATTATTAATACAATCTTATAATAACAACTTGTAAATGATAGGGATGATGTAGAAAATTATTTGTTATATCCGTGTAACTACAACTATTGGATCTCTAAGAGTTTCAAGTGACACCGGGATTCATAATTAGTCACATTCTGCTCATGTATATTTAGTACTTAATTTTATTTGATTATGCTTATTTTGGCCTCAAAATTCTAGAAGATAACTAAAATATTAAAGCAATAGAAAATATGCTTATTTAAAAAAAGTTCGGAATTCAAATTATCAGTCTGTATAGAATGTTAAACTTAAATTCTATTTTTATAACTTAGGCCAAGTTCGATTAGAAATGTATGTAAACAAAAAACAATACTGGGACTACAACTGGCCGAACGAAATAGCACATTTCGATAGCCCTACCTTTTTGTAGTAACTTAGAATTGACAGATATTAAAAAGAGGGAAAGCGGGTCTATAATTGTACGCCTTTTACCCATCGCCAGTTCCGACCAAATCAGAGGAAAGACGACTCAATTAAAAAAAATGCAAACGTTGTTGTGTTGTGTGTGTGTATGTTTTAAAAAGTTTGATGAACATCCACCAGTGTTGCTGATGGAGAATAATATAAAAATCATTTATTGTAAATAAAGACTTACTCACGTAAATTAACTGAGAAGCTTATTACAAAATATAAAAACTATTTTAAGAAATTTGTTGCAATGTTCAGCGCGTCTGAGTAAGTGCGACCGAAACAGTAGAGGGGTAATAGATCCCCCTCTTCTATTTACAAACATTTCATATCAATCCTGGCCTTAACTATGTTGAAGATTTGAATACTATTCTAATGAAATTTGCGTTTTATTTCAATGGTATAAGAGTGATATTATAAGTAAAAAATATTATGAATAAACTATTATACATAGGTATAATGAATTTGGCAATAGCCAGTGTGCTTATAAAAAATCTAAAATTCTCTAAAAATTCTTCCTGACAATCAAAATAAAAAATGTGATGTTTAATATGATTTAAAAAATACTTTAAAGATCTTAATATGGTGATATCGACAAAGCACTTTTTTATTAGAATAGGTCTACAAAATGCGCAAGCGCAACCAACAAATTTTGTACAATGCAGCCAAGTAGCTTAATTAGCCATAAAACGGACTGTTGGGCTGATGTTCAGTCGGGGTTGCAGGGTAAGCACAATGAGGCACCGCGGCCACGGCTCAGAGCAGAAGAAACGGGGTTTTTAGTCATTAAGATTCTGACACTCCCCCCGCCCTACAACAACTGAATGTCTTATCCAGGCCGTAAGTTGATCAAAATTCGCTGATCACTTCCCCAAGGACATGGCGGTGCTCAGCCCAAGCAATACCGCCACCGTATGTTCCACGGTGTCCATAAATTGTAAGGAGAATATTTTTCCTGATGTCAAAACTGCACAACTTCTTTTAGGCGACCGAAACAACTTATTAGGAAAAAATGAAAGTAAATCTTTTTGCCTGAGAAATCTACCAAATTATAGTAGCCCACTAGTAGCTTTGTTGTTAGACAAGGACAATAGACCATCGTGTTCTAATAAAAAAGGCCCTTTTATTGTATGAAAATGACCTTTAAACCAGTGATACTAGAGTCCAAAAAAGACGGATACAATTCGAGATTCATTAATTCAAATCAGTCAATTATTCATAAGAAAAACAGCACAAATACATACTGCCAATAAGCAGCAAAATCGTATATCAAACGTTACAACTAGTCAGTTAAATTGTACCTTAATTACGTGGAATTAATGTTGCGTTTTCAAGCTAAACATATGAGTTGTTTGCCTTCATCCATTTGAAATTGGACCTTATCGGAGTTAGCTGCCTTGTCCGCTGTCTTTGAGAGAGCGCTCGCGAGGAATATTTGGGCAACGCCTGTAGCTGTCACGAAGAGTGCCCAACCTGAAAATGATTACAAAAATATTTAAGAAAAAAGAAAAAAATACGCTTTCACGCGTCAAATCTCCTCCAATGGCAATTTATAAGCCTACGTAGGTTTTATCATAAAAGGAATCTCCTTTGTGTCTGTCTATTTGCATGAACGTGCTAAACTCAAAAACTGACAGACAGTTTTTGTAAAGTTTTCACAAACAGATAGTGTGATTGCTGTTTAAAGTTTAGGTTTAGGTGTTATTCAAGGCCCCATTCTAACTCCCCAAATCCTCTAATTCTAATACTTCCAAAAAGGCCAGCAACTTTAAGGCGTCTAAAAGGTGCCTATAGGCGGTGCAGATTGCTTACCATCAGGTCAAAAAAAACATTAATTAAGATTATGACCAAGCGAAGAATCAGACGAAAAGCTTGTTCAAATGTTTGTACCACCCTTTATTACAAAATGCTTTTGTTTCAAGACGTCACTTGTAATGTCGATAAATAACCTATTTGCTACATAATGTAGGCCATCTATTTACGTAAATAACATTTACAAATTAGTCATAGTAAGCAATATTTTTCCTTAATGACTAAATTGCATTGCACAAGTAAGATAATCCCTTTTATACCATTAGACCACCACAGACGGGTTCTACCAATAAGGTACCGCTATCTCGACCTGAAGCAGGAGAAGGAATGAAGTGGTTTTTAGTCAGTAAGTCTGAAATTCCCTCTTGCCTTAACCTGGGCGAGAAACATAACTTGATGATTTTACTCCTAATTAAAACATGAGTTCTTCTCATCCAACCACTGCCAGCCACCCTGCGGATGTCGTCAGTCTACTTAGCTGGAGGGCGCCCTACACTACGTTTGCCTAGACGTGGTCTCCACTCTAGAACACGTTTACCCAATAGGGCCAATGTTGGAGTTGTTTGTAAGTGTAATAAGTAGAGAAGTAACGGTTTTTAGTCAGTAAGAGTGACACTCTCTCTTGCCATATAATAGGCAAGAGAAGTCATTTGACGTCAGTTTTCCCCGCCCAAAATAAAGATGGAACCTAATAGGGCCGAAGACCTGCTGGAGATGCGAAGGTTTAAGCACAACAAGTGGAGGAAGAACGGCGTGGTTTTTGGTCAGTAGCAGACTGATACTCCCTTTCACCCTAACCAGGGTCAACGTAAGGTCATTTTATGATACTTTTCAAAATAAGGTACAAGTTACACTCATTGTTTAACTGATATATTCAGTGATTGGGGAATTATGTATGAGGAGGGAGGGATATGGCTTCCATGGTAACCTCACTCATACAAACAAGCTTTGTTCCACGCTGCTTTTCTGTGAGGCCGTGGTATCACTCCGGTCGAGTCGGCCCATTCGTGCTGAAGCATGGCTCTTCCACACCTCAATTTAGTCGTATTGATGTCCCAGAACTAAATTGATAAAATGACCAGAGCGCACTAAGGCGAGAGAAGGAACGGCGGCGGGAGGTTTACCCTCGCTGAGAAGTCATTTCGTGATTTTCCCCCCCACAGTAAAAACCTTTTTTTTTTTTAATAGGGCCAGCCCGCCAACGTCCTAAAGCTGCTGCAACTCCTGTAAGCCAGTATCTACAGTAGATACAACCATGAAAACACCGGAGCACTGAAGTCCGGCGCGTCTCAGGGACATGGATGACAGTCTAAGATCCCGCAACGAAATAAATCAGAAGATTTTTTTTTATGGTATAAGTCGGCAAACGAGCAGATGGATTACCTGATGGTAAGCAATCGGCGACGCCTATGGACACCCGCAACACCAAATGAGTTACGAGTGCGTTGCCGGTCTTTTGGGGATAGGGGTTGCGGATAAAAAGAACGGGAAGGGATAGGAGAAGGGGAGGGATTGGGCCTCCGGTAACCTCACTCACACGGCGAAACACAACGCTGGGTTGTTTCACGCCGGTTTTCTGTGAGGCCGTGTTATCACTCCGGTATATTATTTGAGGAGAAGAAAACACTAAATAGTTTCTACTTCCCTTACTTTTCTATACATTTTATTATATTTACCAATAGAACAGTCCCCAGGTATGTAGGGTTCGGAGTTTTCACCGCAGAGCCTCTTCACGCGAGTCGCACCCCATCCCCAAGGGTAGAGCAGTAGACCTAGTACTCCAAAAAGACCTGAAACAATTATAGTCAAAATAAATCCAGATGAAGGCTACTTTTAAACAATTGTTTTTTCGATATATGGAGATTAATTAATGTCAGCAAGTAAGTATATAATATACCTTAATGACATCACTTTTTTTTGTTTGATTTCTTATAAATACGTTGATATTTGTTCTAATATTATACCTTGGGTAATTTAGTTACTTTACAATTTATTTTATTGTTTTAAATTGTAAATTTGTTACGGGAAATATTTGCTTGAAACTAGTCGAGTATCTCGTCAAACAATTACGTGAGTAAGCCGAAAACATAAAAAATAATTTAGTATGTCTTACGAAAGTAATAATAAAAATACAAAGTTTATATTTGCATTGCGGAAATACTGTGGTTAACTATTTTATACATACCTCCCAAAGCTTGAGTGGCTCCGGCCAATGAGATAACACTTTTCTTGAACACAGATTGTACGCAACACGCCATGACGCCGGCTAGGACTGTTGCGAATTGTATGGCTGCACCTGTAAACGTGATCTTAGACATAAACTCAATACAGAAAGTCTAATAAGGCATAGTTCGGCATGAGCCGACGGATAACCTAATAACTAGTAAGGAGGGAAGGATTGGAAATCCGGTAACCTTAACCACAGAAAACCGGCGTGAAACAACCACAGCGTTGTATTTCGCCGTGTGAGTGAGGTTACCGGAGGCCTAATCCTTCCCCTCCCCCAATCCCTAAATGTCCAAATCCTAAATCCCTAATCCCTAAAAGGTCGGCAACGCACTCGTAACTCCTCCGTTGCGGGTGTCCATGGGCGGCGCTGATTGCTTATCATCAGGTTATTGCTTACCATAGGTACACGACTCGCTATTTAGGTAAATACGTTTATTAAGTTATATTAGGTATCTGAACAACTCTTGAAAAACTTGTACCTACTAGCCAAAAACCTAACTCCCCACTACTTAGTCAATCTTATTAGTATAATAAGATTCAAAAGTACCCACAGTCACCTTAACAGAAAAAATATTCATTTTGTTACTAGCTAGCATACAAATTAAGTTGCCTGACAACAGATACTGCATATATAAATATCCTAAGACAATTACTGAATGGATTTCCTGAGGACTCGTTATATAAGGAAGCTCTTAATTAACATGAATACTTTGCATAGGAAATAAATCATACTGTTGAGGAAAATTTTACAATAATACATATGAGACAGGAATAACATTTCGCAGTATTATTATTACTAATCTTCTTATATATAAAAATGGATCGCAAAATGTGTTGGTAAGCGCATAACTCAACAACGCTTAGACCAAATTTTTTTTCTGTGTTTTTTGTTGTCAGGAGAAGGTTCTTAATAAAGAAAACATTAGAAAAGTAGAGGGGAAGATTAGGAAAAAGTGACCTGTGAAAGTGAAAGAAAAGCGAGATAGTTGGGCCCGTGCGAAGCGGGGGCGGGCTGCTAGTACCTATTTTATATTATATATTACCAACTCTACTAAGGTACAGCATCCAGCTCATGCTGAAGTTTTTTAATTCAATAATGTACCATGGCCCCAGTCTGGAGCAGGAGTAGAAATGGGTTGGTTTTTAGTCAGTAAGAATCTTACATGTCCCATCCATGTCGAGAAAATGGCAATACACAAAGGCAGAATAAATGCCAAAAGGCCTTTTCTACCAGTCAACTTAAACAGTTATGCAGAGAACTTACACTTATATATCCTATTAAAACACAGTTTTCTACCTTACTCAAGGATATAAATATAAGTTAAGTATATTATATCTATTATACTTACATAGTGATAGAAAGAACATTGCCGCTTTCCACGGAGTCGGGTAAACTTCAGCATCAGTCGCAAGTCCATAGAACGAGAATGATGCACAGTTGTTACGGTCATTTTTCATACGGATGCATCTAAAAATAATATGTTTTTGTTCTTGAAACATTTATTTTAGATTTGATCCAAACTCTTGTTGGTCATCAGCATCTTCATCATCATCAGCCTGTAAATATCCCACTGCTGAGCAAAGGCCTCACACATGGAGATGGTGTAGGCATTAATCACCACACTTGCCCAAGGTGGATTAGTGATTTCGAAAAAAATCGGTTCATAAATAACGGAGATATCAGCAAAAATACATAAAAAAAAACGGTTGAATTGAGAACCATCCTCCTTTTTGGAAGTCGGCTAATAATAAGTATAGGTCTTCCAATGAGTTTAGAATTTTTATAACAATATGTCAATGATGTGTAAATTAATAATCTTAAAAAATTGAAATTGTTTATTCCATCTAAACCATAAACAGGTACTTTTAAAACATCAAAATGAAATAATAGTCTGTCAGTCCATTTATCAGCAAAGCTAGGTGTGTGTGAAAGTACCACATATAACTATACAAACTACAATATGGTTAGTGCAGTGAATGAAGAATCGATTTTTGCACAAATTTTGTGTTCCTTTGTTGCAGTATGATTCATGTATGGAACAACTCTCAGTGATCCATTAAGTCATTGTTCAAGATGTGGGTGTACAAACATACCCAAAACAGGAGAAAATCCCATTGGGGGGGAAAGTACTTGACAAGTGAGTTAAGGCATCTCCAAGCTTTGGGACGATAAGGCTCCTTACTTGTTAGTCACACACATGGAAATAATTGGAATCAAAACAAGAAAAAATAATTCTTGTTTTCATTTTTCTTTAATCATTTTGTCATTCTTTTTTTTTCTTGACATCAAATTGAATAGTAGAATTCAAATATTAAGAATAAAAAATATTTATGAAAAAATAGGTATTATATTTTTAAATGTGGTTCAGTGAATATCCTTAGGGTGTGTGAGTATTTTAACTGGTGTTATAAAAAGTATGCAACAAAATGTATCCTTATTTAGGGATAAATTTAACATATGAAAATAACATTTAAAATATAGTATATCAAATATTGAAAAAAGTCCCAACTTAAAGTTATAAACAATTTTTCCAACTCACCTATTGTAAATACCGACGCTTGGAACATAAAAACTTGTAACATTATTCTCATTGAGGACCACAGGCTGTCCCATTAACCATTTAGGAGTCATAATACCAGTTAATATCAACATAAAAGCTACCAAACTTAACAAAAGCCATGCTAAACTTCTACCCGTTACTATAACATAACACATGGTTAAAAGTTTGTTCTTTCTCTATGTGCAGCCAAAACTTAGTTTAAAGCTCACAAATAACAATTTCCTGTTCTCAATATAAAGTTTATTGAATAATAAACTCTGTAAAATAGAACCAATCGCAACTTCCTAAACAGAATTTGACATTTCTTACTTCAAGTCAAACTCAATCTTGTAAGTTTTAGCCATAGACTTATGGCAGAAACTTCTTATTTGGCATTTTTTTAAAATAATATTGGGTGTATTGATTTTAAACTTTTCAATAATTACATATTCATATTTAATTAATAATACTTATCTTTATATGCAAATGTGATGTAATTTTTATCCACTTCATTGAATAATAATTCTGTTACCTAATACACAGATTTTCAATGTAGTATTCATAGGCAATATAATAATATAAAATAAATGAATGCCACACTTGAGCTTTTCACTAGCAATAAAATGCATTGTGTTATACTATAATTTGTTATTTTAAAAGTCTTAAACTAAAAACTTATTATTACAAGTAACCATAAAGAATGTTGAATTTGAAACTCTGAACGAATCCATAAGACGATCACTAAAGCGCCATCTCTACAGTTTCAGGTCAAAAATAAAAAAGGTTTTGTTCTCTCTTCCTCCTTGTTGTTTCTTTTCACTAAAAGTGCGAAAAAGAAATGGTTTATTTAACGAGGGCCAATTATTTCCTGTATTAAATTTTGTAAATTAAATTGTGATCTGAAAAGTGTACAACGGTACGTTACATTGTGTCGCGATAATTTCAAGTGAAATGTGGTCGATGACAGCGTGAAAACGATTGCTACGTAAGTATAATCCGATCAAATACTATGCCTTCACAGTGCTATATCATTTCTGTGGGTTTTATAATGAAGCATATTTTGTAGTATTATAAAAATACCTGTCAGTCAATTGTCAGGTACAGATGTGTACTTACCTGTGTATTGTCACGCAAAGAAATCAGTCGTAATTGAACAATTTATTTTATTTAAATCGTTTATTTTATGATTATTTTAGTGTTAAATACAGTGCCATGAAGTGTGTCTGTGAAACTGTGAAGGTATGTTGAAAGTGTGGGCTTGTGAGGTATTGTAAAAAAAACATGTTTTCATCTGCCCTTGTTTGGGTTGCAAAATCTCGATTCCTTTGTCATGTGCATATTCACTTTTACTTTTTCTGGCTAAGATCGCATGAAACCGTTTGACGTATAGCAAATTCCCGCTATTTTATTCCGTTTTTTTTTTTAGTGTTAGAAAGTGGGTACGTTTTTCGTTAGGGGTATTATTTTATGTAAATAACTCGTTCCAGTTGAACAAGTAGTTACTGTTGAGTGAGTTTTGTTTAAAAATGCAGTTATACTTGATTGTTATCCTCTTGACATAGTTTTTTTTTCGCTGTCATAACTGTTAGAAAAAGTGCTGCATGTAACAGATGTAAAACAGCTGCATATTTCATGCCAAGGTACTTTCATATGAGGCCTGATATGTCATTTACAATATTGTGCCCATTAAAACCTCTTTGCAGTAAATTTCCTTTCTATTATGGCCTTTTCAATGCTTATGTAGATGTGTATAATATGTTTTGTATTGAAAACAAAAGCAAGAACATTATGGGTTCTTCAAAATTGCTTCCTCATGAAGCACAACTAGCTATAATTCATTGATATTACTTTGTTAGTAATATAGGGTGTTCCTAAGATACATAAATATTGACTAGAAAATAACCTCAGTAACTTCAAAGACCTTTTTCTGTTGATCTCATTTTATTCATAAGACAAATCCTTCATTGTTTCTATTGCCAATGTACATATTTTAACATAGTTTTGTGCTTCAGAAGTAAACACATTTAGGTAGTTCCAAGTATTATCTTTGTTTTCACAGTGATTGCCTTTTAGAAGCTTTGTACCTGTCTGTCTGTCCTATGTATTTCTTCTTATTGCATTCTTATTTGATTGAAAGTTGAGAACCCACATTTCTATGCATTTTTATAATGCTTTTTTACTTTATTACTAAACCAAGGAGGTGGCAAGACTTAGATTTTGTTTTAAAAATATCTTTGTTTTGTGTAAAATCATGTACACAGAAAACTTGGTAGTTACTTAAAAAACTATTTAGAATGTGAAAAGTATGTAATGTATATAAACAAAACAAAAAAAGAATATGAATTGTATTTGTCTACTTAATAAAGCAATACAAAATTAGGTAAATATTTCTAAAAATAGTTTTTGTTCTAAAAAAAAAACAAAATAACACACACAAAACAAAATCCACATTAGATCCAATTAAATACACTGTATAATGATGATGGTAAGCAAAAAAATACGAATTAGAGGAGTTACAAGTCCATTTTGGGGAATAGGGTTTTAGAGATTTAGAGATTGAGTAAGGGCAAAATGGATTGGGCCTTTGGTAACTAACACAACACTTGCTGTTTTACACCAGTTTTTTGTGAGGCTGTAGTATCTCTCTGTTTTACAAGGTGATACCCAGACAAACTACTAGCTACTCTCGCGCGGTTTCACCCCCTGCTCGGCTCCAACTGATTGTAGCGTGATGTTTGTAAATTATTGGTCAGTGGGTCGTCTTAGGGGCGGAGTTATTGCCTATAGCACGCAGGAATATTGTAGCTATCTATCAGTGACAGAATTTTGCCAATCCGACCAGCGGTTCCAAAGATTACTCTCTACATACAAACTTACAAATTTTACCTATTTATTATATTAATACAGATGTACTAGGTTATTGCATTATTTGTTTCCTGTTTCTCAATGTGATAAATAAAAAACAAAATTTCTATGACCTTAGCCAGGTAGTCTTATTGGAAACTTATATGAAGGCAGTCAAATAGACTCTTACACTCGGTTTCCGAAAGGCCGTACACTGTTAAAATCAATTTAATCTCGTGTCAAGTCATCTGATTGGTTGACTGAATTATCAACAACCAATCAGATGACTTGACAAAAGATTTAACAGGAGATTAGTTAATTTTAGCATTGACAAGCCTTTCAGAAACCGGGTGTTAGTCTCTGCAGAAACCATATTACTTGCATCAACCAGCTAGTCATGTTTAATTACTAATCTATCACTTTCTATACTGCAGCACCTTGTAACACTTTCCCTGCGTCTATTGCATATCTGTGTATGAATGAACAATATAATACTTACTTAGTTGTATGTATGTAGTAGGAATTAGGTGTTAGGTGCTTCCTTCCTCTTTATATTTGAAAATAGTAATCTAATTGGATAACTAAATAGTTTCTGTCAGTGCCTTCTCCCTAGTAATAGAATAAAAATTAGACTTATGTGTTAGTATAGACTAATCCATTTCTATGTCAAATTAGTTTCACACCCAATCAGTGGTTTTTAACACCCATACTTAAAAAATATCTTGTTTATAATATTTGTAGTTATGTCTATTTGAAATCTACTAAAATTACATTTCTTGTAGCTGCTGGGCAAGTAAATAATGGCAAGTTATATTAAAAATAAAGACAATCTTAATCATGGATTTGTTTTAATGAACAAACTGTGTTCTAATTTAAAATTAGGGTAATAATTTAATGTGCTTCTACAAGAATAAAGCAGAATCAATACAATGCTCTGTCACAAAATCAATACAAGTTACACTATTATATGTATAATCAACTAACTTGACTACCTTAGCCCGCTTCCCAAAATATAGCCTACATGGCTCCCCACTCAATAACAAGTTGACAATGGGTAATAAACAAATGTAGAAGCCCTGAGAACACCCACATATTCATATTATGAATCAGTTGCAAAGGAAAATAATTAGAAATAAATCATCATACTACCTCATCTTCTTACTAAATAAATAAATAAAATAAATTACTTACATTATAAATGTGAAAGTTTGTGAGAATGTCAAATGTGGGAGAGCCAAGCTTCGGCACGAATGGGTTGGCTCGACCGGAGTGATACCACGGCCTCACAGAATACCGGCGTGAAACAACCCAGCGTTGTGTTTCGCCGTGTGAGTGTGGTTACCGGAGGCCCAATCCCTCCCCCTCCCCTTCCCCTATCCCTTCCCGATCCTTTTATCCGCAACCCATATCCCCAAAAGGCCGGCAACGCACTCGTAACTCATTTGGTGTTGCGGGTGCCCATGGGCGGTCCCGATTGCTTACCATCGGGTAATACGTCTGCTCGTTTGCCGACTTATACCATAAAGAAAAAAAAAAGTGTGTAATTATTTCACAATAGCTAGACTGATATTGTTGATATTTGGTATGTGCATATACCTAGAGGTGATACCCTGGATTAAGACATGGCTGCTTTTTATCAACATGCTATGTGTGGAAGCTGGTATCAAAATAAGAATAAGTCCTTCATTCTGTGGGCTGTATAGTGACACACATATAGAGAAGAATACCTCTTCTCACCACAACTCTTGCTGTAAGTTTCATAAAAGCCTATTAGAGGACTAAGTACAGATTTTATAGCGCTCACACAGCACTCTCTAATAACCTGAACCTTTTTTAATTGCATTACCCAATCTGGATGCCAATTGTTAGTGGTAGAAGTCCAGCTGTAAACCTTCATAAGCTGGTGGTGATGACACCAATATATTATATGTTTTTGCATGTCTATTCTGGGGAGAGGATGTTTGCTTGGTATTTATTATACTTCACATTACTTGTGTAGATTCTGCAAGCCATTATCTTCCAACCTTAGTAATAAATCTATGAAACTTATGTATTACAAATTGCAATAGGAATGCATATAAAATATATATTATAGACATATAGTTATTGTTTTTCAGTCTGCCCTTTTGCATAACAAAGAAAAAATAACAATTTATTGTTCCTATTTAGCAAGGAATGTAATATGTTTACTTGATATTCTTATCATTTTAGAAATAACTTGTATCAATGTTGTCAATTAATAGAATACAAAACATTTTACTGTGTTCCACATACACCTTAAGGAAGCTTTGTTTGTGGAAAATGTAAATTTAATGAACACTTATTCTAGAATAGACTTTTGTCCAGTAATAATAATCTGGTAATAAAATGTTATTTTTACATGGTCTGGACTTGAAAAGAGACTGACCTCTGAGTTTGTTTCGGCATTTCTTCTCAGAGTAGTCAGATAGGAAATGCCGGCTTTATCTGGTTTTTCACATATAATTTGACGTGTAAACGTGCCGTTTTATAGCCTATTTGCAAAAATAAATTCATTGTTTCATTGTTATAACATTAATGCTGCCATAGTCCTTTCATAGTTCCGCCTTACCGGACCATAGCAACCCACACGTAGCCTCTCCTCCCCTTGTTTCCACTATCTGCACTATCTATAATCTTGCACTAACAGAGGATTGTCCTTGGGTGCATTTCTAGAGTGCATTCAGAGTAGATTTCGGTTGGTATCTCATTTACTTAAAATTAAAGGGCTGTCTAGTCTGTCTGTTGCTCAGGGGTTTGATTCTAGCATTGAGCAGCTGTTTTTGTGATCTACAAATGGTTGTTTCGGGTCTGGTTGTGAGCTCTATGTCGAAATGTATGCTTTTGAATGGAAAGACAACACAGGAAATTCTAAAAAAAAAACAATTTAATTACAGTTTAACACTTATCTTTTCTATTCACCCCTCTCCAAGCCTGATATAGCCCATACATAACCACTCCATGTAGCCACCACAGACACGGGGCCCTATAGGGCTTACGTTCAGCCAGGGTTGCTGTAAGTGCAATGAAGCACCGCGGCCTTGGCCTATAAAGCAGAAGAAGGAACGGGGGGTTTTTAGTCACAACTCCCTCCCAGAGTCTGAAACTCCCTCTCACCGCACCCTGGGCGGGATAAGTCATTTGATGATTTTTACCCTCACAAAAAACCCACTACATTATACCTGTGACCTCTAGACAAACAAGTCCATCACTTTTAAAAAGAGATCAAAACACCTTTAATATTCAGTCTCTTGTTGAAAATTGAAACAAAAACAATGGTATTGATTTGAATTAATAAATAATTGTAATATGTTAGAATGATAATTTCATCTTTTCTATACACTTCTTGAAGGTCAGCGAAGTAACTGTACTGTATGTTGATTTACTGATTATTTGTTACTAGCGACCCGCCCCGGCTTCGCACGTTTCACTCATACTAAATTTCTCCACTGTTTAATGGATCTTATACACATCCTCATCATCAACCTCCATCTTAAATCAATCTATCTACTTATAAAAAAAATCGCATCAGAATCCGTGGCGTGGTTTTAAGGATTTAAGCATTATTGGGGCAGAGAAAGCGACTTTGTTTTGTAATAAATATGTAGTGACATGTTTTCTTGAGGCTTCCGGCGACACGGACCACAAACAGTAAAACCGAGGTCCCAGTAGCTTGATCCGTACAAAATAAATAATTTTCTACCGGCGACTGGGACCACTATACTAATATTATAAAGAGGTAAAATTTTTAAGTTTATATGTTTGTAAGTTTGTATTAGGGGGTAATCTTTGGAACCGCGCGTCGGATTGCCAAAATTCTTTCACTCATAGATAGCTACAAGGTTCCTAAGTGCTATAGGCTATAAAACATCACGCTACGATTAAATGAGCTGAGCAGCGGGTGAAACCGCGCGAGTGTAGCTAGTAAATAATAATTATAATATAAAAATTCCAAAGGAAAAATTTTAGATGTAATATTTGAAGAAAAATCCCTTTTTATTTAAAAACATCGTTTATTGATAGGTATAAAAAAACAAACATTTGACTATAGTTTAGGACCTACTTTTTGCTGACCGAGTCGCCGGAAGCCTCGTTTTCTTTAGATTTAATATCTGGCAAGCCTTTTGTAAAATAATACAACCGTATTAAAAATAGTCTGAGAAAAGCCCTGCCAATCAAATCAATTTACTAACCAGATTGTTTTTTTTTTGTTACAGAATTGACACACGCTCCATCAACATAGTGTACCTACAAGCAGAAAAACAAACAAACAAACAAAAATATGTATATAACAGCTTAATAGCTGATACTGTGATCTCTTATCGTGAATAGTATAATTTTTTTTTATTACATTATATGAATCGTGTATAGTTTTCTCTTTGTCTATGCAATATTAAAACAAAATGAGTTCACTCAACACCAGTGTGCGGCCCCAAATGCCTTTAAGACAGAAGGATTTTGATCAGGTAAGATTTATACTTATCATTTTATTTTTTAATTTTTTTTCTTTGGGTTTTGCAATGACGCAGGTATAAAAGACATTTACAAATAAAATGTTAAAAAGATTTAAATATGTATAACATACTTCAACTCTTTATAATACGGTAGCTTCCAACTAGTCAAATTCAATACTTTTATCCAAATGTGAAAAACGATAGTTTTCTATGAAATTTGTATGAAAAACTGAGTTATGTCGTCATAGTATTTTTGCGTCAAATAGCTTACTTATTTCTTAATAATTAGCTAGAAAATATCTAAAACTTAGTGTATCGATCGATCGATGAATAAAACTATAAGTAGTTATTTTTCAATATTTTATTGTAATTGAAACGTTGAATTAATTTATTTTTGACCTAGAAAACTACCCAAATATAATACAGGGTGGCTTGAACTAGACTTCCAATTATGTTGGCACGTCGGAATCCCTTAGTCCTCTATGTCGAATGACATGTGCATACATATCTACGAACCATCTTCCGGGAGGCCTGCTCCACGTTTTCCTATCCGTGGTCGCAACTCAAACCTGGCCTTTGTGGCCCATCGACTGTTAGGTCGCCTTTAAGCGTACGCAGACCGTAGTGCGGAACCGCGCGTTCGTCGTATGTTGCAACATGTGGCCTGCCTATTGCCATTTCAGTAAGCGAAATGAGGCACCGCGACCTCGGTCTAGAGCAGGAGAAGGAACATCATCAAGGAAAATCATCAAATGACTTGACGGGAGAAGTCATTTGATGATTTTCCACTCCAAAAAAAGCTAGCTAGATAATCTATAGCAAGTGCAGGGCATGGATCAGGACAAGGAACGGGGTGTTTTTTTTTATATGAAGAGTACGACATTCCCTCTCGCCTCACCCTGAGCCAGAGGAGTTATTCAATGATTTTGAGTCCCCCTTAAGTTAGCAGATGTTTACAGGCATCATATTGTATTACTTAGTGTGTAAGTATAAAGACATATCTACTTTTGCTATTACTGCAATAATATGTGCCTTATCTCTTCTACACTGGCAAGTATAATGCAAAATCTAGAAGCGTTTCACAAGCGAGCCTATTAAACCTGGGAACCAAAGTAATAAGTTCTATTCCATATCGATAACTTTGTGTGTCAGGTGTAATAGAGCCATACTTCGGCACGAATGGGTCGGCCTAACCACGAATGATACCACGGCCTCACATAAAACCGGCGTGATACAACCACAGTGTTGTGTTTCGCCATGAGACTGAGATAACCGAAGGTTCAATCCTTCCCCTCCCCAATCCCAAAATTTCCAAATCCCTAATCCTCAAAAGGTCGGCAACGCACTCGTAATTCCTCCGTTGTAGCCAGTGTCATTGGTCGCCGCTGGTTGCTTACCATCAGGCAATCGTTGCCGGTGGTTGTTTGCCGTCCTCTCATATAAAAAACTATCAAGGCTTGATTGAAAAGACATTTTAACTAGAATTTGTCACGTGTCTACAACGGTATGCAAGTACTAAGAAGCCATAAGATTGACATCTCTTAAACGAGCTCACGTGACCGGAAAATTAATTTAATTCGAACTAGATTTTCCTTAGAGCGTTATACTATCATCCACTGTTGGTTTTTTATGGTATAGGTCGGCAAACTAGCAAACAGATTACCTGATGGTAAGCTATCAGCGCCGCCCATGGACACCCGTAACACCAAAGGAGTTACGAGTGCGTTGTCGGACTTTTAGGTATATGGGAAGGGATTCTTGGATCTCCGGTAACCTCTCACTCAAGGCGAAACACGACGCTGTGGTTGTTTCATGCCGGTTTTCTGTGAGGCCGTGGTATCACTCCGGTCGAGCCGACCCATTCGTGTCAATAGCTTTCTCTCCTACACTTAGGACTTGGTCTACTGGCGTCTTCAACTTACGACTCTTTGCCAACATTATCACTCTAGGAAGGAGAGTCATGGCCGTAGTTAAAAAAGAAAGAAGGGATGAGGTGGTTTTAAGTCAGTATGTGTCTGACATTGCCTCTCGCCTCACCTAGCGCTGGAGAATTCATTTGATTATTCTTATCTCACCACAAAAAAGAGGTGGGTTAGTCATAGCAGTTTTGGAGGGTCAGATTTGGTGGAGAACTCTGCTCAAGATGGCAAATGTCCCCCCCAGGTGTACCTACTTTTAATAGACCACCACAGTCGGGGCCCTAAAGGGCTGATGTTTAGCCGGGGCTGCGGGGTAAGCGCAATGAGGCACCACGACCTCGGCCCAGAGCAGGAGAAGGAACGGGGGGGTTTTTAGTCAGTAAGAGTCTGACACTCTCTCTCGCCTTACTCTGGGCGGGAGAAGTCATTGGATGATTTTCCCCTGACAAAAAAAAAGGTGTACCTACTTTTGTCGGCTGGCCTATGAGTACTAGCTTTTGCCCGTGACTCAGTTCGCGCGGAATAGTGTCTTCCTGCAGATTTTTGGTATAAAAACTATCCTATGTCCTTTCTCGAGTTCCAAACTATGTCTGTACCATATTTTACAGAAATCGGTTCAGTAGTTTAGGCGTGAAGAAAAGACAGACTGACAGAGTTACTTTCGCATTTATAATATTATATTAGTTTGGATTAATGTTGTCGTGATTTTATGATAGAACCTTTGTAATGACATATCAAGGTAAATCCAAATCCAACCACAAACGTATCGATTTATTTATCATATAAAATATTTACACACGACCTTCACCCTTATACCAATACGAATATAGCTCAAACTAATTATTAAAACGTATCCAACACAAACATAACCCGATTAATGAATGATACAAAGTGTTATCGCCTTTATCTTTGTTCTAATAAAGTCTAAAATATGAATAAATAAAGATTAGTATTCGTTATGTTCGCCTACGATTGTTTAAACCGACCTACTTAGTTTGACAAAGGCGTTACGGCCTTACTCTCAAACGTTGCGGAGTTTATGATTTACTAGCTACATACTACCGAGCGGTTTTACTCGCTGCTCGGCTCCATTTGAACGTAGCGTGATGTTTTATAGCACTAAGGAACATTGTAGCTATCAATCAGTGAAAGAATTTTGGCAATCCGACCAGCAGTTCCAAAGATTACCCCCTACATACAAGCTTACAAATTTTACTTTTTATAATATTAGTATAGATTGTCCGTACCTGGTAGGGTCCAAGCAACACGACGTTCTCTGTATCTGTGGTCCTTTTGTCGTCTGAAACGTGAAGAAAACGGCGAACCTCCTTTGGAGAGTGAGAGGCCTTTGATCGGTAGTATTGGCTGAAGATAATGATGATGATGTATTTGCCAAATATTTGAAGTGATTGTGTTACTTTAAGACGCATAATATGTATAACAATTTTTTGTTCAATCAATAAATATATTAAAATTTACTCTAACTTTGTATTGTATAATTTTTCAGGCCTTAAGCGTAACGCTGACAATAACTATAGGTACCTTACATTTTTAATAGCGTCTCAGTGTACGGTCGTAATATTTTTGGGGTGTTACGACACATTTTTTGACGTAACCACGTAGTTTTCTTTTATATTGTTACTGACGCAGCTTTTTGTTACGGTTCGACAGAGAAGAGGGCTCATTATGTATAACTGTCTGTTAAGTGTAGGAGGCTGGAATAGGTCATCGGTAAGGTAACTGTTAAGCATGACAGGTTACTGGAAGCACACAGTGACTTGAAAAGAGACTGACCTCTGAGTTTGTTTCGGAATTTCTTCTCAGAGTAGTCAGATAGGAAATGCCGGCTTCATCTAGTTTTTCACATATAAATTGACGTGTAAAAGTGGCCTTGCAAAAATAAATTCATTGTTTCATTGTTTTACATTCTTCCCCTATGCTCAATCCCATCATCATCTTCCTGCCCTTGTCCCGTTTTATTTGGGGTCGGCGCAATATGTTTTTTTCTTCCATTCTGTCCTGTCACCCGTCACGCTATCGCTAACTCCTCTGTATTCCATAATACTACATACTCACACAATCCATCCATATTTTCTTTGGTCTCCCTCTCCATCCATCCACATTTATACTCATGGCTTTTTTTGTAACATGCGTTTCATCCCTATGCTCAATCCCATAATGCGCATAAATTCTTCATAACCTACAAAGCCAGCATAGCACTTGTAGTAAGTTCTCTGGTACCGTTAGTGTCCATGGGCGGCGCCGATTGTTTATTTAGTCACTTATCAGGAAATCCATACGCTCGTTTGCCGATCTATCCCAATTCCCATGTAAAAAACTTGAGACTAATTACACAAATTTTAGACATTTTAAAGCTCATTATGAGTCTAAAAGACTACACTTTTAGCACAATCACTATAGTCAGATTACCTAGTCAATTAAGCAGACAAGTATTCCCAAAGTCAACAAAAAAAACACGATATTATGTAATAAAATCCTTAATCAAAACTCATTATAAAATTACTGATCGATTTCAATGATAAAATATTCAATACCTCTGGTAAAATGAATCTATTGAACGCGCAGATCGCATTGATACGCATGCTACGCAATGTAACCAAAGTTGCTATGCAAAAATAGCACTTAATACCGTTCAATAAAGACGCTGCCAATGTCAAAATTTTAGCTTGACAAGTATGACAGATCGATTTTGACGTAGATAACGGCGTTCGGAAATTTGAGAAAGCGTAACAATCGTCATTGTTTTGTTTGTTGTAAAATGTGGCGTAAGGTTTTATTTGCAATAATATGTTTGTTTATTGTAATAAATAAAAAAAAAACGTTCTGTATTCAAAAAGTAAACGTTGACTTACACTAGGATTTTCCCCTGTGTCGTGGGTGCGGTTACAAACATACAATTTCACATGCACATGACACCCAGACCCGGAACAACAATTTGTGGATTACACAAAGAGTTGTTCCGTGCGGGAATCAAACTCGCGACACGTCGCACGGCAGCCAGTTGCCCAGCCACCGCACCAACCGTGCAGTCAAATTAAAAATTAGGAGGGTATTAATTAGTAATTAGGAGGC